TATCAGAGTTGATGGCTTTGCGTGAACCCCACCATACGTGAAAATTGTTTTCGTCCTCGGGCTGGTGCTATTCAAAAGCCTTTGGTCTTGGACTGAACTCTTTTTTCCATTAAACAATTGTCCTGCTTTCCTTTGTCCTTTGTCAGAGCTTTTCCTTTGTCCTCTCCTCTCCTCTCCTCCCCTCCGCCTTTCAGGGTGGGGATCACTCGAGTTACGTAAAGTTAAAGTATTTTGTTTTTTTGGATGAACTCTTGTTCCTAGTAGTACGGCCAGGAGCCCCTAGTAGCTTCTTGTTCCTAGTAGCGATGCCAGGAGCCCCTAGTAGCGTCCTTGCTCCTAGTAACCTAGTAGTAGTGGGATGAACTCGAGTTTGTTTGGACTAAAGCCTGGCCCGGTCCATGGTTGGGTGCCTTTCAGGTTTTTCGACGTGTTGGGCTACCTCGGCCTCAGCAACAAGAATGCGAAGATCTTGTTTTTGGGACCACTCCGGCGGTTGTGGGTTACAAACATGTTCTGAGTGCTACGGCTGGCCTGAGAGAGCATTGATGAACATTGATGACAGTTGCATGGAAAGAATCATTTTTGGTGATCCGTTCAGGCTAGACGAGGTGAAAGAGTACCTTTGCTGCTTTTGTTCAATTGGCCTGGTAGTGCCCACCAAAGTGTTGTTTTGACTTGCTTTCACGGAGTCCTCGACTTGTGCTGGATCAGACGGTTTATCTTAAGACTGAGCATGTTTGACATGACAACAGGTTTGCAAGGGGCGCATTGAGCTTTGCACGGGGCTTCCTGCGGGTGAGCCTGATCACCATTGGCTGCAGGACTGGACAATGCTGGCAAGACAACCCTTCTCCACATGCTGAAGGCACTGAGCTGTGGATCTGCCAAGCTTGAAACCGGTTTCCAGAACTTTTCAGTAGGTAGAGAAAGTACTGGTCAGATCGCTGCTTGTCCACCTGGCCATTAGGATGACCGCATTGCAACTCATGTCCCAACGCTTCACCCTCACTCCGAGGAGAGGGGAAGGGGCCGATTGGTGTCGGCTTGGAGTTTGGCCAAACCAAGTTCACCAGTATGATGAAAACAGCATGAATTGGCCCTTCTTGATCCCCCAAATGACCTAGAGTCTAAGTCTAGAGATTGTTAGAGATCTGTTTTACTTCCTGGAGACTTGCCCAGGTGTTTTTTGCCCGATCGCAAGTGTGGTGTTTCTCAGTGGGTCCCCCCCCACACGGGATCCACAAAGAACACGAGGTGTCCTCGCTCTAGTGAAGGCTAAATGACACAACCGATTGAAGCCAATGTTCTGGAAAAGATACGTTGGCTGTTGTCCACCCTATTTCCAACGGTGGGCACCTTGCACCGCGAATTTCTCCGTGAGATCCGTGAGCGGGAAACAACGAGATCCGTCCGCTCCGAATGCAGGAGCTGATGATCAAGAACATTCGCTTCCGCACCTATGACCTGGGAGGCCACGAGACTGCCCGGCGCATTTGGAAGGACTACTTTGCCACGGCATGGAGCCCCAGCTGAGCTTTAAGAGAGGGTGGGCAGAGAGGGACAGAGAGATACTTACTATACTAATGTTACTAATAATCTACTTGTACTAGCTTATTATCTTGTACTTGCCAAAACAGCTTCATTGCTGAAGATGACCCGTTTTGCAGTGGCATTTCTGCGTGGACTTTTGCTGGGAAAGTTTAAGGAACACAGGGTTGCATTGAAATTGATGGGCGGGAGTTCTTTGTTTGTCGTCTTTGCATGATTCTTCCAATGAGGACACTAGTAACAAGAATCTCTGAATGCATCCATCCCGATCGGTCAGACACACAGATTACAGAGGCAGAAGCACTCCGTTTTGAACAGCTTTGGAAACAGATCAGCCACAGCCACACCATGTCAACTTGTTTCCATAGAGGATTCGGTCAGCCCTCTCCACTGCGATGCCCCTTACAGCGGGCTGAATGTGTGGGAAGCTGGGGGGGAGAAGTCAGCGTACTTTGCCTTTATTTGGTAAGTCACTCAGGTAGGACAAAAGACTTGTGTCGTATCAAATTCAGCACCTGCCAATTTCTCGAAGCTCACGAGACCAGGTGGATGGCATCATTTTTTCTGGTGGATGCTGCAGACCGCACCCGCTTCCAGGCTTTGCAGCCACAGGGTTCAAAGTGGCTTTGCAAGCTGCTGAATGAACGGCAAAATAGCGACTCGCTTGACATGGTCATGCAATATCCAGCATGCATACATCATATCTATAATCGCCCACTGGTCCAGATCCAACACGTGCGGCGCCCTTTGTTCCTAGCAACTTCTTGTTCCTAGTAGTAAGGCAAGGAGCCCCTAGTAGCGTCCTTGCTCCTAGTAGCGATGCCCTTTGCTCCTAGTACTGTAGCTTCTTGTTCATACATATGCAGCATACCTGTCAAGAAAGCTATAGTGGTAAAGTCCTGATCCGAAACGTCCAAAACAACCAATGTTGAAGTTTTGCTGGCTTCCCAACATCGGACTTGGGTAGGGTTGAATGGCAATCCCTGGTCAAGAGGTGTTTCCTTGTGAGTCGGGTGGGCCCACATGATTAATTATACTAATATATATAATATATATATATATACCATACAATAGCAATGGCCTCGAACCTAATAGCGACTACTGGCGATGGCCTGCAACATCCTGCAACCCAATAGCAAAGGCCTCCAACCTAATAATGTATATACATTTCCAACTCTTTTCCAGGCCTCTCAGGGTGAGCTGTTTCCTAGTCTCTCCAACGCTTTTCCCATCTGAGCTCATCAGCCCTTGCTCAGCATACTCTAATACTGGCAACTGATGGGGTTTACAATGGTGGTGCTTTGTAAATATAAATCGACTGGATGATGGCGGCCAGGAAGCCAACGAGGAGTTGAACGGCCTTCTTAACGAGCAGGTGTGCCAAAACTTTGGACGGTCAGTGAGGGATGAAGGTTCGCAAACAAAAACCAGGGGTTTCCTTTAGACAGGGCCATCGTAGCAAGGAAAGGAAGCAATTCGACAGGTGGCAAGAAGTGGAGTGTTGTTGACTTTGAGTACCTTTGCGCGGTACTTCGTGAGAGTCTTCAGCTGGACCAAGAAGCATCTAGAGATGTGATGATTTGTGAAATTGCCACAGGCACTGGCCAATGTCCCCTTTGTGGTGTGGAGCTGGCCATGTTTGGGGAATGCACACGAACTTAGAGGTTTGAGAGGCGGTTGCAGGGGCGGTTTGAGAGGCGGTTCAGACACATAATTGGAGTATTTTCTGACATTGCTTCCGCGGCCATTTCATTGTGAAGGCTTTAGCCTCAGAAACGATCTGAAACTTACAACCATAATTTAGTGACTTAATAGACCTTTCCGACTCCAAATTCAATCCTAAATTTGAAGAGCACACAACTCTTAACTCTTCTTTGGCTTAGTGCTACATGCATGACCGGAAGAACTGAGTTTTTCCTTCCTGCCGAAAGATTTCCGCCAGGCTTGGCAACAAGATCGACATCCCCACGGCGGCCTCTGAGGACGAGCTGCGAAATGCCCTGGGGTGTGGGATCTTGCCGGGCTTGGGCTCAGACAGGGGGGATTCTACAATGTTTTGAGTTTCATTGCTGGTTCCACAAGGAATTGCAATGTTTGTTTGGTTGAAATGAGTACAGGCCAGCTGGTTGGGGTATGTTGGGTGAGATGGTACACGGTGTTTGCTTCGACATGCTTCAAGCATCTTCAGGCGTTGAAACACGAGCACAGCATAGCACAGCTGCTACAGTTGCCTCAGCCGCTCTTTCTGAAACTTGGGGTGTGAAGACCCCAAGCTGAGGCTCTTCAGCCACATGACCTATGGCCGTGACGCACGGGACCCCAGGGCGGCATTAAGAACACACCCTCCTCGCAAAACCAGCAATAACAGGCCTGATTATGATAGACGAGATGTACATGCAAACACTGCATTGTTTGTGTGCAAACCGCCCTGCACGTGCTTGCGAGGCGAAGAAAGGTGACAGCAGCGTACGACCGGTGGAACTCTTCATGGTGAGTGTGGTGAAGCGTATCTTTGGCAAGAGCAAAAGGCTGTCAATTGCAGAATGTTGGCGTTTGATAATTGATTATTTTTTTGTAATATATCTTTTGTATACACCAGTTTGTTCCAGAGTCCAGATAAGTGCGACTCTTTCGGGATCTCGGCTGAGGCATGGGCTATGCTGAAGCCTTCCAGTGGCTCTCCAACTTCTTGAAGTGAAATCGATAGCCGCTCGACTGTTAGGTTATAACAAGAGGAATCCAGGAAGCCCGACAGGAGAAGGAAATCCTGGGGCATCCATGGGAAGATGGTCTCAGATTCTTAGAATGTTTTGATCCTGCTTTTCTTCTCAAGTGCCTTTTAGATCCTTTTAGCAGGTTTGAATCAAGAAAGAGCTCGTGTTCGTCCCTCCATCCACTCCATAAGGTCCGCTCTGAGTGAAGCAAATCGTAGTCTAGAGCGGAGGAATTCGAATGGCCACACTTATGAAGTCCAAAAGACTACTCTAGCAGCACTGGTTTATACATATTTACACATGATGTGTGTATATGTGAGTCTAAGTCTAAATGCGGTCTCAGGAAGGGTTCCAGCTTTCTTTGTTTGTACTCTCTGAAGATGCAGAACAAACAGCCCTACAACTTGACATGTAGGTGGTGAGTGAACCCTCCTACCTGCAGAAAATACAAAACATCCACATCACATCCCTAAAAAAAGACTCCTGGAGTCTATGGACCAGCAACCTTTGGACCCATGAAGATCCATCGTTCGAATACAGAAGTTCATTGCACTCGCAGAAGATTCAACTCCGTTCTTGGTCACAAAGGCCATTAATTCGGCGACGATGCGAGGTCATTACCTCACTGCGCCTGCGACGCAGCGCCAGCTGCAATTGCGCCACACCTCAGTTCAAGGCTTTTTGCTGCAACGAAGTTGAAGTCGGGGAACCACATGTATGAAGAAGACAGAGAAGGAAGGCACCGTAAGGCCCCAGGGCCCCGAGGCCGCCGTTAAAGGGGCCTTACCTTCTGTGTCTTCCTTTATACCAGCTTGCGGTTGCAAGTTTTATGTTCACATAAATTCACTAAAAGGTCCCACCGGGACATTTTGGCTCAAGTTGGGTGGCAACCTCGTTTGAGTTGCCAACGGTGATCTTGTGAAACTCGTGATCCTTAGGTTTTTCACTGACGACGCGCATCGCTATGGCGCACCCTTTGGAATCCGAGTATGTGATGCTTGAGACGTTCACCGAACCTCAACCAGCCGACGGGGCTGAGGACACGGCTACAGTCAGTAGCCCTGACATGGATCGACTCAACCAGGAGGCGGACGTGGCGTCCACTGCACTCCGCCATGCTGAAGATGAGGCGTCAGCAGGCCTCTCCCTTTTTGGCAAAATCCGGGACCTCACCCGGCACATGGATGACCTCCGGGTGCAATTCCAAAACATCGAAGACGCCGGTTCCTGGTGCCTCTGGCCCAGCTGCCGGGGGGGCCTCGACCCTCCTCAGCGGCTGATGCGCCCGTGGCCGAGGCTGAGACTGCCCCTATGTTAGATGTGGCTGAACCACCCATGGAATGGCCCATTTCTGCAGAACCTCAACTACCAGCGGCGGCCTCAGCTGCAGCGGATGATGATGCCAGTGAGCGCCCGGGTTTACCCCCGCACCGGCGGGCTATAGTGTAGACGCGGCGGATCCCATGGCAGCTGCTGACTCCATGGAAAGGGGGGGGGGTCCCGCCAGCCAAGAGCTAAGCTCCGGAGCCTCCCAGACCGGTCAAGCGACCGCCCCCTGCAGAATGGGGGCTACCTGAGACCAAGGCGAAGGCCGCAGACATCGCTTCGTTGCCGATGCCTATCCGCTTCTCGGCGGTGATGCAAGGGCCGGGTTTTGAATGCCACTTGGAGTCGCATGAGGGATTCGCGGATACACACGTCTTCTGACTTGGGGTCAAATCTGTAACAGTGCCGTGTGACCGCAACTCTGGTCCCATGGACTTGGTGGGGACCCACCTGGGAGGCCGCCGCGCCCGGGCACCCACCCAACCACTTACTGACACGGTGAACCATCCTCAGGCAACCTGAGGCAGATTCTACAACCAGGCATCAATCACACCATCGCAGATGGACAGCCTTTCTACTTGGACCTCATCACTCACGGGCGACCCGGATTGGCGCTACCCTCACGTCTTGAGCGCGGGGCAAAGGGTCGACGCAACTACACTTTGCCAAAGCCATAGGTCCACGATTCATAGAGGAGGTCCCATTGAGAATGACCGTGGGACCACTGACCAAACTTGAAGCGGCCCGATGGTGCCAATGCTCCCCATCGGAACTCTGTCCGGGGCCCCTAGCAGGTATTGATGAAGGTGACAAGGTCCGCGCGCAATCTACGATCGCTCCACCGGGGGGGAGCGAATGCCCAAATCCAACAGAACACTAAGGAACGGACCACCGCACCCACCGTCTTGGACTGTGTCCATGCCATTCACTGGCTGCGCGCGGCGCAAAAACTGGATGCACCTGACCGCCCCCCATCTGTTCCAGGTGCCTCTGACCTTGCTTCGGGTGACTCGCTGGCCTGGCAGTGGCCAGCTCCAGATTGCCAGTGATCCTCCTGCACAGACGCATTAAAGTCCTGCCCCAAGATTGGCGGTTCCAAATTGCCCAACTTGAGGACGAATGGTGGGTGAGGACGAATGGTGGAACGCCTGGTTGGGATTTGTGATCCACCCCTCAATCCCACGGGTCCAAATGGCGGCCCCGAAGCACGTCAAAGTCGCGGCTGTCTTGGAAGACTTGATCAACGGGGTGGCAATGTCTGCCAAGGCCATTGAGAAAGCCAGGGGCCGCATCCAGTGGGCCACAGCCTGTTGCCCACTAACCAAATCCATGCTGCAGCCCTTCTGGGCCTGGAAGAACAATGGGACACCCATTGAAGGTGGTCCGCATGTTGGCCTACCTCCTGAAGGAGCTCTTCACCCTTCCCTTCGACCAGTATACTCCCCATTCCTACCAAAGTCTTCATGGTGGGGATGCAGTGATGCTAGTGCTTCAGTCCAAGGTGATGCCTATGTGGGGGGGATGGTGTAGTGGCGATCCCTCGAAGGCGGAAGTTTTCTGGTTCCATTCCCAGATCAAACCGTCCATGGGCATTCAAAGATGGCAACCCCCAGAAGCGAATCGCGGCACTTGAGCTGTTGGGCACCTTGCTCTTGTGCAAACACCTGATCGCGCAACAGGGCACGACTTTAGGCAGAGTCCGACGACCTGTATAGGCAGTGACAACTCAGGCAACATCTTCAGCCTACTGAACCTCTCGCCCAAGAAACCACACACCGCCGCCCTCCTGATGGAGCGAGGGCTGCAATTTGGCTCCTAGCCACATACCCCGGGAATTCAACACCTGGGCGGCTGAATTGACGCATCCGGACTTTCAAGGATTTTCACCGGAGCGCCGGCTACCGGCTCCGAACAATCTGTTTTCTTTCCATTGGCGACTCGTCTTCTGTCGAGCGCAAACTTCTCCTAGTGTCCCACCCAAGATCCCGTGACCGGATCCGGTGGGAGTCCTCCTGCCCCCAGGCCCCTGGTCTCCTGACAGGTGCCGCTGGCCCTGGACTCCGTAGGGGCATAAGGTGTGTCAGGCCGGAGCGGGTGAGTGAAACTGCCTGCCACACCCTGGATTTTAACGTGAAACGGTCACAAGGTGACCTTCGAGGATGGGGTCTGGGGAGGGCCCATGCGCCTCTCAAAGCAATACGACAAAAGGCTGCTTGCTGCTTTTGTTGCTTAGGGATGTTTTTGATTTTTGGGTATATAAGGTAATGTAATGTATGTATGTCAATGTAATGTAATGTAATGTTGTGTTATGTAATGTGAAGTAAGGTGATGTAATGCTATGTAATGCGATGGTATGTAATGCTATGTATGTATGTATGTATGTATGTATGTAGGTATGTACGTATGTACGTATGGTAATGCTATGTATTGTTATGTAATGTTATGCAATGCTATGTATTGCTATGTAATGTTATGTAATGATATCGAATGATTTGTAATGTTATGTAATGCTAGGTATTGCTATGTAATGCTATGTAACGCTATGTAATGTGATGTAATGTTATGTAAAGATATGTAATTGTATGTAATGCTATGCTATGCTTTGTAATGTTATGTAATGTTTTGTACTGTTATGTATGTATGTATTTATGTATGTATGAATGTATGTACGTATGTATGTATGTATGTATGTAATTATGTAATGTATGTATGTATGCATGTAAGTATGTATGTATGTATGTGTGCATGTATGTATGTATGTATGTAAGTAAGAACTTCTTTGTTTCCATACAATTGGCTGGGGCCTGGGGCCGAGCAGTTGAACTCTTAACAGAATTAGTTGGTAAGGTTCCTCTAGGTCCCCTGGCAGATAGACTGAGTCATTCGATGTCCCAGTCTGACCATTTTCATGCGGCTACTTTGGTGTTTGTTGCGTTGTGTTTTGAGTGACTCACCGCAGCATCACACTAGTCCCTACCCCGAGCTTTCGAGTTGCTCCCCAGCTGGGCTTGTGAGTCCATTTTCTACAACAGTGCCGGCGGATTGGCATTTCGCTCAAGTAGAGCTGACTGCCTCGCAGGGGTAAACCGAACGTCTCACTTTTGCGACCCAGTTGCCCAGTTTCGGTGCGCCTTCTTTGCAGATGCACTGGCGTCTTCTTTCGCGACCACCAACCACAAGAGTGTGTGTCCCCCCCATCTCAAGACTTTCTTGCTCGAAGCAACAAGTTGTGAGCACTGCCTCTCAAAATCAGGTATTCATTTGGAAGACCTCCTGGCCCCAATGCCCCCGCCGTGCGGGACGCGCCGAAGTGGGCTGAGCCTTGATCCGCCCGTCTTCATTGGAAGGCTTGGGCGCTAAAGACCGGACGCTGTCTCCTGGCGTCTTCAAGTGCAAAAGAAAACACCTGAGAGCCGTGCTTGGGGCAGCTTGTCACGTTGACGTTCTTCCAAGAACCTTGAGTACACAGGAGATATGGAAAATCGATGAACATCTAGCACTCTGGCTTTAGAGCACCTATCTTGAAAATGACCCTTAAGTGAGATTTCCCATCATATTCAGCAGTTGTTCGCTCAACTTGAATTTGTGCGCAATCAGCACAACTCATGGACAGCTGTACACGTTGTGTTTGAACCCTTTTGTTTTTTTGGCTTGGCAGGTTTCATGGAAGCGCAGGATTGGAAGAGCGCCTTCAAAACCACAAAGCACTGATTGTAACAGTGCGCTATACCTGCATGGTAAGTGTACATTGAGGTATGCAAAACAGTATGTTGAAAGGCGCTGTAAAGGCAGAGTCAAGTGTTTTCAAAGCTTTCTTGGAAGCGCAGCAAAGGGCCACGCCAACCTGACACACCTTCTAAAGGCTGGTCTATCAGGTAGCATTTTTGCTCAATGCTGAGGGTGCTTTTCTTTTATGTTGCTGGGCGGGCAGGTGTGGTTTTGTGGCAAAGGTTCCTTTTTTTACGCAGCAGGTTCTTGTTATTTTAATGTTTATGCCTGTTGTGTGTTTTCAATGACACTAACATTTTGCGGTCAATTTAGATTCAGCAGCTTGCATGGGTTTGGTTGCTAGTCCTTTTGGGTGGGCTGCCCTATGCTGTACAGGTCACCAGCAAGTCATAGACGTAACAGACGCAGAAAGCATGCCTGGTACAGTGCCAGGTCACAGCAGTACAGTCCGTGCCCAGCGACCGGACTTGGCTGATGTGTCGGCCAGCACTGCTGGTCAGTGCGGCGCCAGGGAACTTTCTCCAAGTTTGTTCAGCAGTGGCAGCTTGGAGGTCTTTGTCCTCACAGCTGCCAGCGAGAGATTTCCCTTTGTCACCAAGTGTGCCCATGGCGCTGAAGCCCCCTGACATGGCCGCTTGGAAGTGGACGATTGTTGCCTCCTTTGCGCGTGCTGTGTTCCTAGCTCTGAATTTCCTATACAATGCACCGGCCGGCATCCCCTGCCCAAAGTCCAAAGTCGCACATCGCTGCACAAAGTCATGTTCTAGCTAGGATCATTTTCAGAACGCTTGATTTTGCGGACAGGTTGCAGACGCCTCAGGTTGCTTCCCTGATTGGTGGTCTGCGTTGCTTAAGGTTTGGCTCACGCTCCGAATATATCCGGCTGGCTTGCAAAGAATTGAGGTCATGGAAGGTGGGGTTGGCTTCCACTGTAAAAGGAGGTGGAACAGTGCTGGCTGTGAGCAAGCCTGGTACCGGACGTCAGCGTGAAGTCTGGCGTGGGCAACGTGCTCAGCAAAAGGGGCGCAAAGTTTTGGTTTGACCAGTTGACACTGCCGCAGTGCCTTCGTGAATGGATGGGGCGCCCGCTATGTGTGGTGGATGGCACAGTTTGCCGGGTAAGCCAGGAGACCAACAGTAAGTTTTCCTCGGTCAGGTTGGTGTGGCCTATGGTTTTTTCTTGGTCAATGTTGTTAAACTAAAGGATAACTTTTCGTGTCGTTTTCTTGTTATGTGTTTTCGTTTTCGTTATTATGTTAGTATGTGTCGTTTTCTTCATGCAGGCAGGTGGTGTTGGCTGCCATGCAAGCGGTCCTGCTAGACCTTGGCTGGTGCACGCCGCAGCTAGAACTCTCATGGGAGGTGTTGGAAGTTGGATTTTGCGCTTCGAACAACAACCTTGTTGGAGCTTGAAACAAACTTTTCAATTTTCTTATATACATGAGTGCAAACTCATGTGGCAACAGCCTTCGGGCCTGGGTTTGCAGGATGGTTTAGACGAGCATTTCCACCGCGCCATATTGAAAAAAACACATGCAGGCCTTGCTTGCACAATGTTGCAATTGATCTGGCGGTGTTCCCTGCCGCTTGCTGCAACAGTTGCCCTTTGTGTGTGGAGCCCTTTGCACCTTCCGGCGCATCATGTTTGAGTGCCAGCACGTCAGCCGCCATTGCGGCGGTGTCCCCAATCGAGGCCCGTTTGTGTGTGTGTCTGTGCCTCTAGGGATCCTGCCTCTTTATCTTGAATGTGGCCGGAGCATAGATGTTGGGCAGCGCCATCAAAATCAGATTGTTCCTGCCTCTGCCTTGGTTTTTGCAACTGAGGCAGCACATGTCATCCAAGACTAAAAGGCCAACCACTCCTTTGCACGGCCTCCTCAAACTTCGGACTTGACAGCTGGATCTCACAAATCTTGAAGTTGCTTTAAAGAAGCCCCGTTGTCGCTTGAAGAACGCCTGAGTACACTTGCCAAGGAATTGCGCCTGTTGCTGGAGTACACTTCACTCATCAGATGGGTTCGGGACAAGTCAGTTTCTGTGAACTTTGTTGTGGTCGACATAGGTTTGGGGCTCCAATAACTAGAAATTGCAGCCTGGGCTATGTATAGGTTAGGTAGGTGACAGATTGCTTGACTAGTTGTTGTTGTGATGGCGGTGGTGGTGCTCGGTGGGGGACTTTTCTTCATGGTGGTGGGATAAAAGAAAACATTCAGCGTGAAGCCGGCAACCACCACCCTCAGCACAACATACGGAACCCTCAACATAAGAAAAGGACACCTCAACATAAAAAGCAGAACCCCCAAATCTCCAACAGCAAAGAAGAACCCGTTCGTTCGCTTTAACAAAAACTCTTCACATTTAGAGGCATACGGAGTCACTCCAACCTTACACATTTCTTTAAAATCAATTTTTGCGATACTCGACACTCGACAAGAACATTTTGAGCAGGAACCGCTCCAAACATACACCCTTTGTGGGCGATCCAACAGCGCAGTAGGGAACCAACAAGGAACCACCCATATTTCACAGCAAGTGGGTTCACAACCAGAACGAACTCTTTCATGTCACAGTTGTCCCGACATTTCTGTTCAGAAGAGCAAATGCGTGTTGCAAATTGCATGTTTGCAGTGACAAAGATGTGACCGGCAAGGATCGGATGTGACAGTTCGGCTGTTCTGGGACATGCACCTGCCGCGCATCTTGCTGGCTCAGCAAACACGGCCGTGTAGGGCCCCACAGTTTAAAGAATATCCCAAGTAGCCTCCGAACTCAGTCGTTACTGCGACTCATGATTCTTCACCGTAACATTTGCAAGTCAAACCATTACAACACATGGCGGGCTCCCTCGCATTCACGCAGATACCACAGAAGACACATTCATGCAAATGCATTCGTAGTTTCTTCCTGGAGGTGAATATCAAACTTATATACACAGGTACAATGGGTATGATGTATGACTATATTTTTCATCCCCTTCATAAGTGCAATGACAGCTGCAGAGTCTTGCACATCTCTCTACCTGAAGATCCTGCAGCACGGAATCCACCTACTTTCAGCTCAGATCACACTTTATCCAAGTCATGCGGCTGAGCGTTTGCAAATGGTTTTAACTGGCCAGGAGGCAGTCGCAAGGCCGGGAGCTATGCATTGAACACTTGAAGACCAGCTCGACTTGTACCAACCTGAACATTCTTGAAAGCTGTTGAAAGATAAGTTTCTTATCACAAGTACACTCCAACTTGAACTGATGTCGCAAAAATTTGGTGGGGTACCACTTGCTGTATCTAGCATGGTTGGATTGGCAACATCAGGGTTGTCAACACATTTACTGTACTATGCAACGACTTTATCCCTTTTCTGCTTGTAGCTGGTTTAAGACTTCTCAAAACACACGCTTTTCTTTCAGCATGGGCCCAACTAGTGACTTAGTGTATTGTATCACATGATATCGCATGTCCCATGGATCATGGATCTCCGGTGGTTCATCTCATGCTATATTTGGGTCGTTAGATTCTATGTGGTCACCTACTCTTGCATCCTGAACTCCACATCTGAACTTTACAGATGGTTCTTAGCAGCTACAGCTACAGTAATGGCCGGCAAAAATTGAAGGACGCATGTCAAATTGGACCTGTCCCAAACTTGCATTGCGCTGAATGTGGCAGGCCTTTTCAGAATGCCACGAGGCATAGAAATGGCTGGAGATATTGAGCGGTTTGCTGTCAGATCCCACTGCTAGGTAGACTGACTCGACATCTATGTTTTGAGGGTATTGGAAGGTTCTTCTTCCTAGTTCATTGATCGCGTTCGTTCATATGCAGTTGGTATAGATCAACCAACCTCGTACGTACAACTCCACGCCTTTGGCCATCATGAAATTGAAGTGTGAGTGTTTAAGACAAATCTTTGTAAAAAACGCAAACTAACGGGTTTCCGATTATTGCGAGCAGAGCAGGGAGAGGGAGGGCATCTTAGTCGTGCCACCTCCTCGCTCTGCCCCACGCTGTGGGCAGGTGCATCACGTGACACTCAGTTTGATCTAAATAAGGCTGGCACGGGTGCTGCAACACTTGGTGTGACTGCTGAAAGACCTGGTTTATGTTTCAAGCAGCCAGGATTCTGGATGGCAAAAAAACTGTGGCTTCACCAAGTTGAAGCCAATTTGAGCTTTTTTGTTTCCCTGACCAAGAAGACAAAAGTAGATCGTCGACATTTTACTGAACCAGAAAACTACTTGCAGACAATATGCTGAAAGACGAAAGCGGTCTTTCAAGCCCTGTGAAAAGGTCAACTGAATGTATCTTCATGAATCTATATTGTACACATGGTGTGCCGAGAAGACTTCTAATTCTACACCTTGCTCAGCCAGGATCGCTTTGTTTATGTCCAGGCGCTTCTAATTGGGAGGACCGACCAAACCATTTCTCCTGAACCTTCAGAAGTCAAGCTGCACGGAAAGCGAAAAGTAATCCGTCCAGCTTTTTGATAGCAAGCTTTTCGTTTGTTCATTATTCGACTCCTACTTTTGTGAAGCACTCACTTCTCGCAAGCTCAACCCACTCCCCTTTGGGCTGTGGGTTACTGTGACATGTGTGAATGCGAATAGCGTATTTGCACAATTTAAGGAGTCTTGTGATGTTTTGGGTGTTTGCATAAGCAGATCCGTTTTGACTCT